TGATGATTTAGAAAGAAAGACCGCTGAAGGAATAAGGGAATGTCTCATTTTTGTGTACCTTTCCATGGTAATTTAGTATTCTTTTTTTCATGTCACATTTTTGATAGTCAGCGTTTATAAACTTTAGAAACTACATAGGTTAGCAAAGAACAATAATCTAGAATTGTTTTTTGCTGCTCGCTGATAACCACGACCGGCCTATACTGAGATCTGATTGCATTCAATTCCTTGAATTAATGAAAATGATGGTGCTAATGCAGAAATGACATTTTCAAAAAAGTATAACATTGAAATTTTGTTAGAGTCTGAATGAGTAGTCTATCAAGTCGCGCTAGCATCCAATTGTAATAAGAGGAGTATCGACATTCTGTCTTCTAGATTGTACTGGCTGTAGTTTTTAATTCAATATTGGTTTAAGGTATTCTTGATTTACAAGCCTACTTGGACTCTTGTAGCGAAGATGTTCGTGCTTTATTTGAAAGGGAGTGTTCTGTGATGCTTGAGTGCAGGTCAGTCTTTGAAATGTGTTGCAGCAGGAGCACTGAATTTATTTTTAAGAGCTTGCAAAAGTATTTTCCGCAGTTTCGTCAACTTCTTCTCTCATAAGCGAGGTTTTTGCCGAACTGAAACCTATGAAAGCAAAAATGGTAAGTCAATCTCGTTACAATAACTGTTATTCTTTCAGTTGCCATAGAATTCAAGAATTCAGGCATTTACTTAACTAAAAAGTAAAAGGCTAAAGGGAAAATCTTGAATCATTAATTTGCAGTTAGAACATACATTTCAAAAATTCGATTTTCGTTTACATTTTTTTCTTTTGATGACATGAAGTTGTTGTTGATTGGAGGTAGAGTGACGAGTCGCGCTTCTTATTACGATGGTTTTCCACGATTTCCCAAATTTAAACCCCCCCATTTCTCTTCCGAAGAAAGGAAGCATCCAACTACCTTTCAACGATGTTGTGATCGCATGGTTTTCGAAGAAAAGATTACTGGAAAATTCTGCGGAATAACTTTTTATACATTTCATTCCCATGATTGAGCGATCAAGTACAATGACAGCAATCTTTTAATTCTCCCTTGATATGTACGAGACCATTCTATGTTTCCAGTTTGGAAGTTCCCAGTTTAGGTAATCGAACGATATGTGATAAATCACCAATTGTTTTGTACCTTCCATTGTAGATGTGTTTTTAGGAAATCCTCCATCATTCTCTCCAAAAAAACTAGGCCTACGCCGAACCAATATAGCCAAGCATGTATTCAAAAAAATCGGAGTTACCGAGATACCTGGAATCAACGATGACGTAAGCTTCACTTTTTTGCAAGTTTTTCTCTAATTTTTGTCTGTTCCGTCATATTTACTTATATATTTGCTACTATGCAAATGCGAATGTCTATCTTATCTGGTTATAAAATGCAATACTTGATGGAAGAGAATGTCTTTATCAAACTTGATCGTTGAGGTATTAGAGCATGATACTAAATTCGATGAAGCTCTTTTTATTTCAAAGATGTTATTAGTTACCAGCTACTCTTGAAATCATAAATTTATTTCTAGCCTTCTGCTTCAATATTTGTCCACACATTACCGAGCCATCGAAGAGAGATCGTAGCTGTGGTTGATCGCGATGGGACTCAACGAGTTTGTCTGGAGACTTCATTTTATATCTCATGAATTGCGGTAATTTAGATATGTTTGCCGACGTTGATGTACGACGACTCCGATATTCCTCCCGACAGGGTCCTACTTTTACGGCCACAGGTTAACGCAGCCAGGTACTTGCTGTCCCTTTCAGTATTAAAAGAGAAGGGAAGCAGTAGTTTACGCCTCTGAGAGATTTTTACTTATTTTGCTTGTAAAAGCGACAGTCACAGAATTGCATGCGTCATATCTATCAATTCTCTAATTATTTCATAGTCGTACAGCTGTTAATGAGAAAACAGTAGAACTTCATTGACCTCTCCACTCTTTCTGCTAGGCTGTTCTTTGGCTTTTGACGCACTACTTTTATCCCCCCACCTTTTCCACAAATATCTATTAAAAATAAAAGGTCGATTCACTTATTTGCTTCCGCCTTGGTAAAGAGTAAGCTGAAAAGTTTGCAAGAGGCGAAGAACTTTTCCTTGCGCTTCGTCCCAAAGAGACCCGATTTCATTCAGAGTGCAGTAATGTATGAGATTATGATAGTATTCGGACAAATATCGACTTTGGGCGTGGCCAAAGCTCTGTCTATAAGAGCAAGAAGGGGTAAAATCTTATATAAAACAGAAAACGCAAAAATGAGAGAAACTGCCTTTTTTTCCGTCATATTCAGAATTTTTTTCTATAAGCTGAGTCTTCATCTTAATCTGTCTAACTTGTTTCCCTTCTAGTATTGTATTGACCATCCATTTCTTGTCTTTGTTGCCTGCTCGACTGCGTGCTGTTCATTCGTGGTGAAAAAAATGTCACCGATATCATACAA